AGCACGCATAAATGTTGTTTTCTCAAAAACACAGTCACGTACATACATGCTGCTCACATATTATTGTAGCCCAGTTTGTGCTGATTACAGTCTTATTAAACTTTAGCCATTAAAATGTTTATAAGCAACTGAAAAAAGCACAAATGTCAGGGCATGTCAAAACTTCTCCAGGGCCCCAAAACACCCTCAGACCCCAGAGGATTAATAAAGGGGAGCTTGATGAGGGACAGACAAGTGAGGAGGATGAACTAATAATGACATAACGAGAACAGGAACATAACCAAATATGGGCACAAGGAACTAACTAATGAAAGAGAGACAGAAACAGGGTCAATGAACACATGAGGGATGAAAACACAACAAAACGTCCAAAGGGGTGTGACAACACGTAGGCAGTTTAAAAAAAAATTTTAATGTCGATATAAAGTGGTTGCATATTGTTAAAACCAATCGTGGTAGTGATATCTTTGTAGGACTGTTGACTCTATAGAACAGTGGCAAGGAAAAGCAAATGTCCGGCGAATATCGAACCCCTCTAGGCATTTACTATAGCCCTGTAAACATTAAATTGAATAAATTATTGGACTTCTTTTTGTACTGTGAGGTAAATTTGCAGACGATCCCTAAAGCAGCCTAGGCGAATATCCAGCGAATATCAAAATGAACTTTACCGTGCTTGGTTTTCTATGGGAGAAAAATGCTTAGGTGAAACTTTGTGGTTTGTGTTAATATTCTGGAATCATCTGCTTATCTGTACATATTATATTTGATTAATAAGACACCGAATTTGGTCATTTATTATGAGGCAATAAACCACGTTAAGTGTTAAGTTGAGATCTGTTTAACATGCAGTATTCTGGTTTCATCTGCTTGCCTGTTTATAGTTTGCAGCATCAGTAAGGTGTATTCTGAGTTTGGTCTTTTAATAGCTGTAGCTGTCGCAGAAAAGGTTGTATTTTCTTTTAAGTATTTCAGTCATTTATTTTATGAAAAGGTATTTAGTTCACAAATGGTGTGTAATGTATTATGAATGGTTAATGTACTGTGTGTATTGATATTGGTTCAGTAAGAAGCAGACTTGGTTAAACTGCGGTAAAAACAGAAACACACTCACAGGTTATGTATCTGAATGTAATTTTATTTGTTTCAGTTTTTCACGGTGTCATGATGTCAAGATGTTGATATCCAAAGGGTGTCACGATGTTCAAGTGATGTCGAAATAGGATCAAGATGGCGATGACGCCGATACTTATACTCTTTGCAAAGAAGACATTAAACATTAAGACATCAGTTGAAGCGTGATTCTTTTATCAGAAGAAAACCTTCAGGAGCCGTTACAATAGCTATCATTGTGTTAGTCCACTGAACCGCGTGAAGCGTTTTCTTTGTAACTTTCTTTCTTTCTGAGGGAAACCACGTGAAACCTTGAGCGTTACGTTTATATTCTGAACTCATCTGCTTGCCTGTATAGTTTGCATCATCAGTAAGGTGTATACTGAGATCTGAGGTCTTGTTTATATCACTGTATTAGTTCATTGAGGCGTGTTAAGAGTCGTTGGGGAATCCTGGAGTGTGAAGTCAGATGGAAACCCCAGTATTACTACTCAGCGTCACACAAGCCATGATACAAAGTTAAGGAAACTAATCAACTGAAATCAATATCTTAGATGTAATATTAGTATATCAGCGTGGTGTAAAATAGCATTATAATCTCCTTTGGTAGAGAAAGCTGCTTACATGTGGCTAGACGGAAAGTAACTGCGAAGATGCTGAATTAAACATAAACACAGCTTTTGAGTCTTAATCAGCTTTTCCGCATATACATACTGGCCCTGATAATCATAACTTCTACCACTTGCTCAATTTCTGCAGATCAGTTTCTGTGAATGAATGACTTGCTCTACCTGTTGCTTTGGTCTTGCGCCACCTACTGGTGAGCGACTAACAGCAGATGCAGATCATGCATCGGTACTCTACTGCTATTCCTGCAGTTCCTGGATGTGCAATGCTGAATTTTCTGCCGAATTTGAACCACTGAATTTGTGGAAGCAAATTTGTAAAGTGAAATAAAATGGACTGAAAATTGCCTGTCGAATATTATACATCGTATTTTTAAACAGATTGAATATTTCAAAAGGGAACTCAGAAATGACCAAAGAGGCCCAGAGGGTTAAATAAACAACTATGTTATATTTCAGACCCTAAAAATGCAAGCCCTGTTAATGCAATGCATATTTTTTTCAGTTAGTGCAATTCAACATGCTTTTTGTTTCAAAGACATTTGTCATTATTTTTCTTCCATACGCTTGAACAAACTTTACTCTTTATCACAACAAAGGGCTAAGCAAGCACATTACACTGACAAGGTATGCGATATAGTACGAGACCAAACGCGACTATAGTATTGTTTTTTTTAATGTTTTTATTTTTTGTATTTTCATTTTTCAACTAATTTTCAGATTTATTTTTATTTGTAGTAAAAAATAAATATTGGCTCAGGTAATAGGCTAATAAGTACCATTAGAACATAGTCTAATCTTTATTCAATTTTCAGTAAGTTTCAGTAAGTAATAGTATGGTTTAACTAGTTTTATTTATGTAAGTTACATATCGCTCTGGTTACTAACGTAACATCTGTTCCCTGAGATAAGGGAACGAGCGTCGCATTGACACGCTTATGGGGAAGTTCAGTTTACTTTGAATTCTGAAGCCTGATATGTTCACGTTCGTGTAGCTGCATGAACAAATGCCGCTTCAGTCCACCAAAAGGGGTGGGGCCGACATCTATATATGTAGGCTCTGAGTGCCATTTAATCAGAATCTTTCGACTGATAGCGACAGTCATTGACTCACGTGCAGCCTTATAGCACAGCAGTTTATGCAACACTCATTCCCTAGTCTCAGGGAACCGAGATTACGTTAGTAACCAGAGCTTTCCCTTTCGAACAGTCTCTCCCATTGTGTTAACACACTTATGGGGAATGCATCCAATAGCGCCGTACTATAAGAAAGTGCAGAATGAAGCCGCTTTGCAAACCCAGCCCTAGAACACCCGTAATGAAGGCTCCTAGAAGCATGAGCCAATTATAAGACCCAATCCACCAGGCTGGGGTCTACATAACAAGACCTTCTCCACTTACAGAGGGGATTAGGTCAATTAGACGGACAAAATCCATGCCTGAAGGGCAGGGACGTCCAAGTTATAAAACCTGGTGAAGGTAGATGGCGAAGATCAGCCTGCAGCCGCACAGATATCACCAATAGAAACTCCACTGGACCAAGCCCAGGAGGAGGCCATTTCTCTAGTG